TTTTTTCTTTTTTTTTTTTTTTTTTAGATCTGAAAATGTAGCGAGATGGCATCTGGTCTCTTTTTCGTTTCCGTTTTCACTTCGCGAGTTTCTGACCTCATTCCTCGATTTCGGGGAACCTCGTGCATTCGAACTCGCGGCCGACAGACGAGAAAGAAACCAGAGGAGGAAGGAAATTTAAAATTTAAAAGAAGCTAAAAATAAAGACAAAAGAGATCCCACACGACCGAAGATATGCTCCGAGACGGCCTCTTAAAAACGCGAGCGCCATCTGCCCGCAAGAATCTCAACTCCACCCCACCCCAAACGACGCATTCCGACCGATCGGGACAGATCACAAAAACAAATTCCGAGATACACTGTCTCGTCCATCTCGAATCATCGCTCGGTGGTTTTTAGAGGCGAGTGCGTCGTCGTGCACGGAGAAAAATCCACGCGGAAACGGGTCGTCGTTGAGCTCACCCGTGAGCTCAAGGGTGAGCTCATCCGTGAGCTCGTCGACAGGTACGCCGATTTGGCTGGGGCAGGGAAGTAATTGCGAGAACTCGAAAACGTCCGAAAACACGTCGCCGTGAGACTCGATTCGATCTCGCCTTTCTGGGAGGAAATGCCGAGGAAATTCGTCGGTCCTCTTCGGTCGGCGCAAGTCTCTTCCGATAAAAATGAAATTTGCCATTGCGTCAACGCTGCGTGAATGATCGCATCGACGCATGGTCGGGGTTTCTTCGATTCGTCTATGACGAGATGCACTCGGTCGAACTTGAGAGTCCTCTCAGCCCCCAGTACTCGGTGTGTCGCCGCGTAGCGAGGGTCGACCTCGCTCGGTGAGGGTCGACCTCGCTCGGTGAGGGTCGACCTCGCTCGGCGGGGTAGGGAAACTGGTCGCGTCCGCGGTTCGTTTCCAAGAAAGCAGGATCCGTTTTCGCCGACGAAATTCCCTTTCCTTTTCGACCACGGGATGTTTATCTGATCCTTCTCAGCCGTTGGGAAAAACGAGAAAGTGCGGTTGGAAAGCACCGGCCGACTCCCGTCGCCCGAGATCTCGATCTTCGTTCCATCGGCGGAATGGATTCATCGTTTTGCTTGCCAATTCGACCAATTTCGGGACCAGTTTTGAGCCGAGGACGAGTCTCGAGTCGCCGAGAAATTGGCTAATTGGCGAATTGGCGAATTCACGAGTGCTCGACCGATATTTGAATCTCGAGGAAGTGCCGATCGAAATCGCCAGCACGGATCGGAACGAACAGCCGGAAGTAAAAATTGTGAATCAGTTGTTGATTGCAAGATGTTTTTTTGTAGCGAAGATTCTCGCTCGACGTGAAAACGAGACGTTCGAACGCTTTTCCTCGTTGAGCAGGCATCGAAAGAGATCCGAGGAATATTGGAAAAATAAGATAAGCACCCCACAAGCACCCCAGTTGTTGGCCAGTGAGGCTTAAATCCAGCATAATTAATTAGTTAATCTGGCCGTATTCAAGCATTCTATCAACATGTTCCCGTACGAGGACCTATTACTATTGGTTCCCGGTATGCGCACAGGGTGTCCACAAACTATGGGAGGAAATATCAGCGTGGCCAAAAACTGGGGCTTAAGTGGCCAAAACTGGGGTGTTTACCCTATATAATAAGAAACCGAAAATTCGCTGACTTCAAGGCCGACGAACTCCGGGAATTCCTCGTTCCCGTCGAAGAAAGGGCCAGCACACGAAAACCTTCGGCTCATCGGTAAAACCGGCACGGTTCACAGAGGCTTTCGATACCACGTCCTCCGAAACGCAAAATTTCTATGCAGTAACCCTATATGCTCTCATCGCTGACGGCTTGTTTACAAGCAATCGAGATGAATGAACGGTGGACTCGTATGTCATCGGTACGGTTTGGGTACTTCGAAGTACCCAAAGTACCGAAGAAAAATGCCTCGTATGACGCTCGACTACGGTTGAGCCTTTAACACGGCGAAAATCGTCGTCTCCACTTAAACGATAAGCGGAACGTTCCACCCTCGCTCTTATGTTTAGCCCATAGTTACGCAAGAGAGAAGAGCCAATGGGTTTTCTATGATAATAACATCCGTTTCCACGTAGAAGAGGCATCCTCGAGGGTGGAGTTCCCACTTCCCTTCTTCTTCGCTCGAATCACAACTACTCTAGGCGCCTTCAAGGGAATCAAAATCAAGTCTGCAGATGAGACGGCTGTGGTTGTCTCTGGGGAGAACGAGAATTTTCGGGGGAAATGGGGGAAGACGACCGGTTTGCGGCGCAGGATCGACTCCTCGATGCCAATGAATGCCTGGAGCTTGCTTTTAACACCGGTTCGAGAAGAATCTTTGACTCTATCGCAAAACTGACAGTGAGTGACATCAGGATCACCACGGTTCGTGAAGCATGACGCCTGGGTGTCATAGTTGACAAGCTTAACTATCCATCTCAAGAAAAAACTGCGCGTTAGAAGGTATTCTCAAGACCCTTCTTTGCAGTACAATTCCACAGTAGATACATATACAGTGTGGGGCGCAGAACGACCAACGACTTTTAACCTGTATCTCTACTCTAGCATGCATTCATGCTGAAAAAAAAACTTACATTGGTCATAGGAGGTCGATCCAAACGACGATGATATAAACCGTCTTGTACCATAACGCCAAGTCAAACCTGAAGAACAGATTACTTTTACTGCTTTGGATATGTGCGCTGTCAGCTGGCGTCCATTCAACCCAAACCAAATCTCAACAACATCAAAATATATGACCTTGGCACAGGTATTGAACATGGGACACCTCCATCAGGCATGACAATTTGAAGAACGAGACAGAAGTGTATGTTATACAAGTAACATGTTGAATATAACCACAAGACAACTTTGTACCAGAAATTTAGCTTTGATAAAACCACAAGCTACCACTCCATTGCAGTTTTCTTGTGGGGAATGGAACAGTCCAGTCTCTGAGCCATAATTTGATGGAGAGATATATCTAGTACTCGAAGTGAAAACTCTATCATCTCTATCCCTACACTACCTGCACCAGTGAATGAACTAAACTGACAATTCCATAAAAGAGAGGCATCAGGGGAGGATGCTAGTTGTGCATGGCACTTACAAAAGTCAGCTTCTGCATTCACTTTGTTTTCTCTTTTCATTATTTTTGCTCTGTACTTTGATATATCCAGCAAGGAGAAGAAGCTCAAATCAGGTTCAACCTCATACAATGGGCATTCTACTCCTACACTTGATCATGAAATAAATCTCAGCTCTTGTGTATGGGAACAAGAATTTAAATTTTATTTTGAAATAATTGTAAAAAATCAAAAATATGTTTTATGTGGCAGCAGCCATCATCTTTCACAGTTCATGATGCATGCACATATATGCATTAACAACGCACAATGCATGAAGAGAATAAAATAAATCCCTCCAGGGCACACAGTGCTACACAAATAAACAGTACGAATCACAGTGATCAAACCTGAATACCATGAGACCCAAAACCTAGTCTACCAATCAAGCTTAGCCAATTGAGCAACATGAGTTGAACACAACAAAAAATCTGGTAAATGTATCAGAATCATACTGGTTTCAATGGTTTTTCAAAGTCATGGCCTTGGGATTCAGAGGAGCTTACTGAGGAAATGTCTTCATAGAAGTGCTTCAACACACTCATTCTCAGACTCATTGCCTGAATACCTCCAGTGATGGCCCGAGTCTCGTTAAGGTTCCACAGGGTCCCCATCATGAAGCAGAACAGCCAGGCCACAGCCAAGATGGTTCTCAAGAGAAAGGCAATTGAGAAGTGCCCCATCGGGAAGTCAATGGCCAGGATGACAAGGAATACCAAGAACAAAAATGCAGCAGAGAAGAGGTACCAAAAACGGTCCTTCTCAAGCTTCTTCAAGGCCTTTTCACAGATTAGACGAGCTTCTTCAATCACCCGCAGTTCCCCAGGGCTCCCAATTCCTGACTTTGTCTCTACAAGGAATATCAAAAAAGGGAAAAGTTGCCATCAGGTACAGGTTGACTTGTAAATCTGCCAACTTTTTTTTTTTTTTTTTACTCTGTATTACTTCAGACCAGCATCACTAGCAGCTGCTACATTTGGGCCTGAATAAAATGCAAATATGCATTAGAATGCACCATACCTGAACAATATGCAACAAATTGATAGCCTTGACCTTTCCCACCCAACCCACCATACCACCATCATATGTGTTATCTTAGATTTTGAGTAGTGCTGAAGAACATAATACCATATTAGTCTTGTCTGAGATAAGAAGCACAAGAAAGGGATTCTATCCTGCCAGTGGTGGAGCAGACAGCAAGGTCTAACCTTGACACACCCCTAACTAGCTGGAAGGTGTAAGCTGCCTCAAACACAGCATCTACTGAATGAGATCAACTTTCTAAGTCAAGACTTCATATAAGCTTGTGTGAGCCAGGCTCAATTCATCAGAGCCATGTGCCACATAAATTCATGAAGCAAATGGCTGAGACACATGCAAGGAGCTCAGATGTACACATTCTGATTGAATATGTATTTCTAATATAGGTTTTCCTGGCGAATTTTGGCATAAGTCCATTCAAACTCAGCAGCAGCTGTTTCAATTTCAGCAACGCAATGAAATATAGTGTTTCTGGTAATTAACTTGGGAATGAGGAAGAAAAGGGCACAAACGCATAGGGTATTCTTGACGAATGATCATTATTTTATTATGCAAAGAAAACACCTGGACATTGACACTGATCCTATCTATCAATATGTTCTCTTCTTTTGGCATCTAATTAAGTATGTTTGTGCATAGCAAAACAAAGCAAAGCACTTCTATTTGCCCAACTGACGCCTCTCCTATTTCAAGCAGTTTCTCTATCTGACTTTGCTGCAAGTTTTGTTCTGATCTTCATCATCCAAGTTCTACCTGTGTTTCAGGAAGGTACACCTCACGTTTGACAGCTGACTTACATGCAATGAGGGCATATTATGTCAGATTCAAGAAAGGAGAATATGCTGACAGAAACTTCATGCAGATGTTAGGAACGTCATTTGGGACCGAGGCTCTCTTGTGGGGTCTATCATTATCCATGATGACATAAACTGGTTGACCTGGTGGCGAAATCATGTGTACATGTCTCAGAAACTCCTCAAAGAATTCCTAGAATATCAACGATGTGACACACTCATGTAGATCCTTTTGCAGTAAAAGATAATTCCAAGCATGGAAACAAACATGAACACATCCTACATGGATGACTCACGGCAAGGAGCAGTCAATTTCAAATATTCAGTTCCAGTTTTTCATCTTAGATAATGCTAGACCCCACAAATGAGCCTCAGTTCCAGATGACTTTTTAAGGTTCACGTGATGTTTTTGCCGGCATATTCGCCTTTCTTGAATCTGACAAAGCATGCCCAAATCACCCAACAGAAGTGCCTTGCATGATTTTGCCATGCACAAATATACTTGATCAGATGCCCAAGGAGAGAACTTCTTGATAGGTAGAATCAGTGTCAATGTCCATGTGTTTTCCTTCATATAGTAAAATACTTGTTATAAGTAAAAAAAATACACTCTATGTGTTTGTGCCTTTCCTTCCCTATTCCTCATGCTCATTAATTCCAAAAAAAGAGATTCCCTTGAGCTGCCAAAACTGAAACGATGAATGCCAAAATAAGAAGTCACCTGCTGAATTTGAATGGAATTTTGCTGAAATTCGTCAGGAAAACCTATAATAATAACTGAATCACCTAGTGTGATGAAATGTCAATAGGCAATTGCATATGAATGCCCAACAACATAGGCCTCATGACCCACAATAACATTAACGGAGTCTAGACTTGGAGATGACTTCACAGCCAGAATGATGATGTAAGTATTAACCCTCTTGGTGCACAGAACCTTTCTCCCTTCTTTTCGCACAAGGAAAAAAAAAAGATTTAGGCACCATTGTTAGGCACTAAGAGGATTAAGTTATGTATAAAATTAACATTTTTTTATCTTGGTACATGCTAGCAACTACCAGGATGAATTCTTTCAACAGGAAGGAACTGACAGCAGAAGAGGTAGATGTAAGGAGGAAGGAAGGATCAACATCAATATCATGTGTTGTTGAGGTTCATGGGGTGGAAGTGCATGACATTCATAATATATCAATAGAACACAGCTGCCTTAAACAAGGAATATGGTAACTTGGTGGAATATGGCCATTGGGGTAATTTGGTCCTTCATAATGTATCCCCTAACAGACTGAAAAATTAGTTTTGGTGAATTTATGAAATAGTTCTATTAAAGAATACATGGAATCGCCGAAAATTCAAGACCTGTTCATTAATCCGATGCTCACAGGAATTTGGGATAAATGATGCTTTGAAAGTTGTAAGCATGTGATTGTTCAACTCAAGATCCTGAAACTAATAGCCTTGAAGAACTTAGGTGTATATTTTCTATCAACAGCATGGATACAGAAACCATTAATTCAAATTCATTCTATGGTGCCTCCAAAATGATTGTGGAAAATGCTATCCACTTGTAGTTTGCATGCAGTTTTGTCATTTTTTGTCATGCAAGTCAATATGAGGAAATTTGGCCACCTAAATTTGGAGTAATGTGGCTACATCCTCAATTTCATGGAAGCGCTGCACTGACCTATCGGTATTGTTAGATTAATTTCATGAGGGACCTCAGGCATGAAGAGATCATCCTTTGCACATCCTCTGGATATATGCAGCAGATGTATGGAGATCCACTGGTCATCCACATGAAACATGCAGCTGATTCTGATTCACAGAATAGAGCTTCCCATGATTCGTCTCTTGTCATGATATGTCTCACTGGGGACGTAAATATATTTTCGAGTACACCAACAGACACCTTCCATTAGGAAATACAAACCCACAAAGGAGAGAAGGGAGTGGACTAGCCAGTGCAGCCTGGACCAAATTCTAGTACCAGCACTTGACCAGCCTTTAAATACAAAGAATACCTCACATCTCAGAAGAAACATGTGTTTTAAAAGCATGTAACATATTGTCCCTATACTTCATATCCTTCCTCTATAGCAGCCTATAACTCTGTCTGGGTCTAGGTATGGGACAAAGCCCATGGTAAACAAGGTCTATGAAGTAGGTTGAGATTTCAATGTGTACAGTGGCCTTCCTATCTTTATTATAAATCAAGTTCTCTGTTATCAGGTTCACCTTTGTATCCCAGACAAGAAATTTCAGGTAGTATGACTGATACCATTCAAATTCAAAAGAGGGGTACATCTGAATAAATGGTCTCATCTGATGGGACAATGATGAGGATGACTTCTCTGTGTACCCATGTATATGTTTATCTTATCTCTTTAGTTAATAATAAAAAAAGAAATTTTTGACAGGATCCCATGAGGTGGTCTAAACATTCACCTTTGGCAGTGATACAGGACACAAATAGGATACCTCTAGTTTCAAATGAATTTCCAGGAAGGGAATTGAGAAATTGCAACAAAATGCATACCTTCAACCGACTAATGACAATGTTGGAAGAGTCATGCATATAGTTTAGTATAAGTTTTTGGGAAATCCATTCACATCATAAATTCATCCCTTAGTTGAACCATGAGGACGAGGCTTTACCTTGCTGAATGCCTGTCCCTGGAGCTAGTGAAATCTTGAGGGTACACTGGACTGCTTCATGGTCAGAGTAACTGAAGTGCTGCCCTGGTACCTTCTCAGGCCATGGCAACACTGTTTCCAGGACCTTCACCTGTCCATCAAATAAAACCTTCAATATTTCTACCACTGGAAGAGAGAAAGTGAGAGAGAGAGAAAGAAAAAGAAAAGTGGTTTGACTTCTGGATTAGAGCTTTCCAAAAAGTGATTTGAAAGCATCTCATAATGTAATGATAAACAATCACATACATCAACTAAGATATTGAAAATAAACCACCCCAAAAAAAACCCAGGAAAATTGTACAGATTAAGCAATGTACTCAAGAACTTTTATTTCAAGTCCATCTATTCGCAATGAAAGGTAAGTTGGCAGACTTTTCTTGGTAAGTGCTTGAAGCACTGAGAATGTTTTTGAAGACATTTATATAAATCCCAGCCAGAATAAAATGACCACCTTTAAAAATTTTTTTTTGCTTCATTGAAACAACTGAATAGATAGTAGGGTATTAAGCATTACAAAATTGATGCAAAGATCTGGGACAATGTCTATGTGCATCTGTGCAGGGCTTTGACATAAACAGGTCTGGGTTCTGAGGTTAGCAATGGCAACCTGATTGAGATTTTGCCACAGATTGCTGATGGTTGTCATTAGTTGCTGGACATCAGTGGGCAATGGCCAAATTCCATGCAGCTGCCAGTTGAGGTAATCCTGTGGGTGTTTCAATGGGATTCATGTCCGGGCATTGAGGTGTCCATGGCAGAAGTTGCAGACCCAACTTTCTCTTTCAGGCAGTGGTTTCTCTTGTGATGTAACAGGTGGCACTATGTTTCTAAAGGAGAAGTGTCTCAAATTGAAGTAAAAAAATGTAAAAAAAATGGTAAGAGATTGTTTTCCAGGAGAGAAACGGTACCAGGCATCTGTTGATGGAATATCACATCATCCTTGCTATGATGAGAGTTCACTGCCATACCATCATCTTTGCACCACGTCATTTTTCATTGTTGCCAAGAAAAATTTGGATTTTAAGTGGATCTCCAGATTTCCTGAAGGCCTATGTTCAACCGGCAGATGCGAATTGCTGTAATTGGGACACATCAGAGAAAAGTACCCAAAGCCAAGATGTAAATGAAATGTCATTTATAAGTTGGCCCTATTCCTTTGGATGTTGCACATTCATCTCACTAAGCAAGGGTTTCTGCCCAGTAGGTTCTGTCCACAGCATCCAAGTCTATTAATCCGTTGAATAGTTTATTGGCTCAGGTTTGCAGTAACTGTAATGGTGTCAAGACTTTGTCCTGGGTTGGTGCAAGCCTGACACACAACCAATCATTCCATTAGTTGGGTAGCTGATGACAGGTGTTGAGACTGCTGCTCAAAGTCTCTTGGATGCAGTTTGGCCTCAGCTATGCATTGTGACCATTTAAATATTTTTAGCTCCAAGGAATTTTGGGTGAGGACAAATCTGTACCACATCACTGTGGCTCAGTGGATAAGGGGCCCGGGTGCACACGGGAGGTCTGGGTTTGAATCCGACAGGCGGTATTCTCCTGGGTCAACAGTTCACCCAGTTGCTTTTGGGTACTACCTGCTCTCCCTTGGGCTGAAGCATAGGCCACTCTGTGCTCCATTGTGTGAGAGGTAGGGGCTTGGTGCACCTTAATAGCACCTGCCACATTGGGCCGATGTGCAACGATGGATGGCCTATGGCTGGAGCGGCATCAAAGTTGCCACCACCTGGGCCCATGAAAACAGGATACATCATGACAGGAAGCATGGGAAGGTGGGGTAATGCCATCAGGGATGTCCGATATAGAATTCCCTTTCCTCTACTCAGTGTTGCTACTTGTGGCATTTGTCATTGTCTGTGTATGTACATCCCAGTCCACTTTTAAAAAAAAAAGGAGGACAAATCCAGTAACTGTGACAGTAACTGTGTGTCATTTTCATTCTGGCAGGGATCAGATCATTCAGTTGGAAAGGCTTATTTTGTTTAATCATTTAAGCTATGAAAGAGAACATTCTGAAAATTGAGAAGTACTCCATATCAAGGACCATTAATTCGAAATTGATGAATTAAAATTGATTGCTTATGTCTAAAAAACAATCTGTACATATAGTTTTAGACCATCTACATAATATTGAAAGAACAACTAAAAATTTAAACTTTTGTTGTCATCACTCCAGTTCTATCCATCCATTTGTTCCTCCTCCTTTTTGCTGAGGGTTTCATGAAATTTCACTTACTGCATTTTCTGCAAAATGGTCTGGATAATCTGGCTTCCAACCAAAAAGCAACAATAATAATACAACCCAATTAGATTTACCTGAGTCTTTGGGGAATGCGAGAACATTATGTAGTCCAATTTCTCTTCTGGTAAGGCTCCCTTACTGCTTGAATAGCTGTTTCCAATGACATTGCATGTAGCAGTCACTTCACTCATGGGCTACAAGATTTAAACCAAGAACAGCATAATGATAATAGGCACTTGGACGGATTATAGTGTAAAATTTTAAAACAGTGTTTCACTTTCTCTTGAAAGCAGTGTCATAAAATTATTGTTCACATCCAATATCAAGTAGATTTTCATATTGTCTGATCAAACTGCATTGCAGGAAGGCAGACCCTCAAAGACCCTCAAGAGTGCCACTGCTTTCAGGACAAGACAAAAATCAGTACAGGTAAGAAATAATTAACTATTTACTCCGTCCATTGGGCAGTATGAATCCTGAAGAGGGCCACTGCAAGCTCGGATGATCCTGTAACAGATTTCATCGGGCTCAGAATTGAGATCTCCTCCAAGAATGGAGATATCTGTACCCAAGGAGGTGAGTTTGATGAAGGTTGCAGTCTCATATGCTTGGATCACTCGGTGGGCCAGATACTCATCCTGACTCCTGTGATACTTGGCATGGAGCTATAGGGTGATAACAAAAAGTTAGAATTCAGACCATGTCATTGTCACCAACAGGCCATGAGAACTTGGGAACATCAGGTAGAGGGGACTTCCCAATACTTTAAGCACTATGAGAAAAAAGGCTCCCTAGCTATGGTATTACTATTCCCCTAAATGACAAAAGAATCAAAATGTCAATTATAATTGAGGAAACAATTTTATTCTAACAGTATATTTTTATTCTACTTATTCTGAAAGCTGACAAAAAAAAAGGAATAAGGAGTAAGTTTGCAGGGTATTCAGCAAGGGAGGAATGGAAAAGGAGAATCATACCACATAACCATTGTTGGATTTGTCTTTAATCTAGAAATGAAATTTTACATCTGTTATCGGCATGCTTGAAATGCTCAGAAATATGCTATTAAATCCTATATACACTTAGCAACATTTATAAGAAGAATCCATTCTCTGGAAACTCACATGTGTCACATAAAGGTTGACAAGAAGATGTTGGATCCTGATCTGACATAATCCTATCCCTTTCCCTCCAAACCAATCACCATGCTGGATCTTGTGAATGTAACCATTGACAGTCCATCTATGGAAATGGATGTCTGTGATCTCATACTTGGAGAACAGACAAAGTCCTGATCCCACCACTCCACTGGAGAAAGCATGTTGGTTAAATGGGGTCAAATCCAACTTCCCATATATTTAACAACAAAATGGTGAATACACCTTATTAGATGGTTATTACAGAGAGAGAAAGAGAGAGAGAGAATGGGAATATTTTCCTTGGAATTTTGCTGTGACTGAATTTTATTGTAGTGCAGGAAGGTCCTTTTACTAGTTATTCATCAGTGATGCTTCAGTGTACTGCACTCACTGTGTACTCACTCTACAGCAGACTTGACTTGCTAACTTCAAGTTAGACCTCTGAATGTAACTTGGGAAGTAGATATTCCAGCGGAAATATATTCTCCCATTTCCTCTATCCATAGTGTAAGAAAAAGAAATCCTCAAAAGTAAAGATTGGAATAGCACCAAATCTATAGAATTTTTTTTAATGCCAAGCATTTGCTACTAGTACTTTATCCCATTGATCCATTACAAATTAACCTAAAGATTAAACAAAAAAATGTAGGCTTTTGTGACCTTATGTACCTGAAGAAAAAATGAGAGTAAGGAAGCACTGGAGTGAGAACTTCTTGGATCTTGAGAAAGTCACCATGACTCCAAACTTCTTCCAGAAATACTGCATCATAGTGCCCCATGAGGAGTGCCTCTGCAATAATTTTGACACGCTCTGGCAGGTCCTTTGATATGCAGGGAATCCCCCTTCAAATGCAACCATCAAATAGAAGCTGATTAATGTCCAATCCAATAACATTGAGTGTATACTGATTTTAATAGTTTGGTTGAATGAAATACTTACTGCTATCCCACAAACCCACAAATCTACCCTGAACCTCAAGCAATTTGAAGAACCTCAAGCTCAAACAAACATGGAGACAATCATTGATCACAGCATCTAGAAAGAATGTCAGATGCTTTCTAAGTCATCTTTAATCTTAAAAGATTTCTAATTTTGGAAATCTTTAAAGACCAAAGATGGCTTAGAAAGTTCCTTCCACAAAAGACTTCAAAAGCATTACTGGCAATGACAGTGGCATCATAGGTAAATTTGAAGATCATGTCTGCATGGATACATGTCTCAAAACAGCCACATAGCATCTACTAAAACACTTTAGAGTAAGATACCCTTCTTGTTTCAAGAAATTTGAGGTCTTTGAGTTGATCTCCAACATGAATGGTAGAGGCTGACAGAAATAGTCCCACAATAGTGGTACTGTTTTTGATTCTGCTCACCATATATTCAGAGTGGCAACTTTGAGTAAGAAGGTCATGTCCTGTCCAATATCAGGCATAAAATGTGTAGGTGTAAATTGTTTCTCATCCTGATATATGGATGTTTTCAGAGGGATTCCCAAATCATCTACAAGTCCACCTTTGGAACCCCTTCTCCTAGACATGCTCAAACTTTGAGTCGTGTGTTCAATGATGTTCACTTCAACTTCAGACTCCTTTCCCAGAAGGGGATCATCTTCACAGGGGATATCAACAAGATGCTGTCTATCTATGCCCGTAGATACAGCCTCATCTTTTAGGCCATCAATTGTTGTTGGGATTGGCACCAAAATTGATTCCATTTGTTCAACAGGCTTCCTCCCATTCCTGGAATTTGAAAAGATGCAACTTTAAGGTTAGGTCTCAACTGTTGGACTGAGGTCAATATTCTAGAACACTATGCTATGGCATCAATAGAAAGTCAAACCCTCTTGCTAAGTATATGGAAAGGCATATAGGCCTAATAGGTGCTGCTCACATTTTATTGCAGAGATGAACCCAGAGATGAAGATTAGCATATCATACATCAAGAGATGGTTGCCACAACCATGTCTTGTAATCTCCCAGTGCATAAGCATGGGGTTAGGAGAAATTTCAAATTAATTGATTGTCTTATGACTTCTTGGTCCTAAGAGTTGGAAAAGCGAGTTTCTGAAACCAATAATAAAAAAAATGAGTTGAAGTCAAGTTGTCTTGTATGTAAGTAAGGGGCAATGGTGATTTAGGATATCATACTCCTCTATAAAGAACCATAGCAATATTAGCATTTGAGCTCTTGTGACATCTTGAGCTTGTACAAAGATACCCAACTCTCAACTTAGTGCACTTGGGCTGGACTGACTCATTGCCTTATCCAGTCATTTGTGTGCCTGATGGACCCCACCTGACATCTGATATGTAATGGTTTTCATCATAAGTGCAGCTGAATTACCCCCAATACCACTACACAGTGATTCTATATTAGGCAGGTTTCAGACTCTTCATCTCTTAGGCAAAAGAAAGAACTCTAGACCTGCACCTAGATTCAAACTTATAATTTCTGAAGGACCAGACAAAAGCTGATGAAGTGAAACTGGACCAAACAATCTCTGGATATGAAGCATCCTATAATTTTTTAATGCATGATGTAGCACATTTTGGATAAGATTTTCCCAATCTGTCTCCCTTCCCTAGTGCTTGAGAGTGATTGCCCAGGGATTGCAATTATCATAAATGGTGAAATGGTGTAGCAATGAGTTACACTTGTAGAACATCCTTTATTAGCAAGTGAGCTGGTATTTCATAACTTGACAGTAGAGCCCACAATATGGAACATACAAAAGGGTAAAAGTCAACCTAAAAACAGTACTGCTGGCAAGGAATGAATAAGGATTCTGTAGCATATATTGGCATATACTATCTCTCATGCTGGGCTCCATGGCCTATTAAGGCAGGTTTACTGTCCATTCCTACGCTGCAACTGGGGTCTCATTGATCCCATTTTTCCTGCAGTCCAGGTGGGTTGGAAAGGGTATATGCTGAAGATGGTCCAAGATCATTTCTGTCAATTTTGGTTTCTGACCTTAAGGCCTAAGAATGAAAACAATTGAATTTCTTTGGGCGAAGGCAAAACGTGGCTTTGCTATACTCCCCTGTTTAGGGGAAGACTATCAGTTAATCCTGCAATTAGCAATACGTAAGTTCAACGTTATGCTAACCTGAAGTCACGATGTCCAAAGTTCCCTTTGGTCAGTAAATCCACAACGTGGGTCAATGTTGAGGCCTACTCACACACGCATCAATTGATCGCAGGCTGAACAAGTGCTGTTATGACTATCAGGTTCTCTTATCAGTAGACCGTTTCCATTTCTTATCTTACCTATCCACCTTACCCAAGTGTACAATTGCAACGTCCGCTACGAACTCAAACATTAGGTCATATTCAACCACATTCCTACCAATTCCGTAAAAGATCACGTGACGGCACCAACACCCTTCTATAGATTAAAATAAGGAGAAAGCCATATTCTTGGCCTACTTCCTCCAATTGGAGGGCAGTAGAGAGTGAAAGGCTCCCGCTTTGTGACGTCGAGCTGCGACCGAGTTCGCGTCCGTCTCAGGAAACATGAGCATTTCATCCCGTCTTAAAAGTACAGTAGCTTGATCGACAGGGATTTTGTTGGAAAGAGCCGAACCGTTCAAAGGCGAAAACCCTGAGTGCCAAATTTCACATTCCTGGCTTTGACTAGCCTCTGACTCGAGTTCTCCCAAACGTGGCATTCCGAATCGGAAGAAAAAAATCTCTTCAGGAATAGAATTCAATAACAAGAGAGTTGGTTGATACCTCACTGAAAAGCCTTCGTTTTGGACATTGTATTTACACACCAAATAGGCAGTGCTTCTAATTCAACATCGTTTTGTTGTGCATGGCAGATGTTCAAATGACACACTCGCGAATATTTCGCGTCTTGTATCCTTATTTAAAATTTAAAAAAAAACATGGAGTGGGAATCGTATTGTCACAGATTGAGTGTTTACTCTTAAACTTGCTTTTCGGAGGCTTTTTTCAATGATGAAATTGAAGAAGACATAGAAGGCCGATCCTTGTGGCAATAAGATCCATGGGACCAGTTGGTCAAGCGGGCGACTCGGAGTCAGGCGGTCTTGACCCGAGCCAGTGGCCTCCACATAATGAAAGGAACTCCAGGTTTTTTTATTATAGAAAGGAGAGGATTGCGCCCTTGGTTTAACCCTGTAACTGCCGTTCTGGATTCATTGAACCCTGTTGCAAAAATTAAGCCATTCGTGTTGGCTGTGCCGTGACTTGTAACATTCATCATGAAAAAATGGGTTGCAGAAATGTTGAGCAGAGATTAAAGTCGAGTGAAACGGAACTGAACACGACCTTAAGGGATATTTATTCGTTTGTTGAATGGTGTTAGAATCTCACGATAGAAACAAGCCATCAGGAAAGAAAGATCTCGAAGCAGGTATTGCTCTTCGGAGACTTTAACATGCCAAAAATAGATTGGTCGATGCCGCAAGGGGGATGCGAAAGGGATAGGGAATTTCTCGTTGCGGTTCAGGACGCTCTTCTCGTTCGGTACGTAAATGAACCGACTCGCGAGGAAGCTTTATTGGATTTGGTTTTCGCGACGAACGACGATCTGGCACGAGACGTTAAGGTACAGGATAACTTGGGAGATTCGGACCACTGCGCGATCACGTGGAATATCAAGCGGACGAAGAGTAACGCCAAACCGAGGAAGGTTTCGTACAACTATAAGAAGGCTAATTTCGAGAGACTACGTGAATGCGTTTCAGGCATCGACTGGGAGTCNATGTCGAGTGTGGTAGGTTTTTCCAGTTTGATGACAGCAAGAGAACGAGAGGTAACCGACTCAAGTTGCGCAAACCGCAGGTGCGGCTCAGGTCGAGACAGGAATTCTTTACTTGCAGAGTGGTGAACGCGTGGAATGCGTTAGATGACGAAGTAGTGGCTGCCCCGCGCTGTGACTATCTGTGACTTTAAGAAGAAACTAGATGCTTTCATGGACAGGCAAAAAGGAGGGGGGCAATGTTGACGTTAGGTACTAGACAGTAAGCAACTAGGATAGTCAAAACACAAAAAAAAATACAAAAATACAAAAATAAATAGCTTTAAGAAGGTTAGGTCTACCCTAAAATTAAGGAACGGTCGACCTCGACACGTGATATCAAAATGGGCGAAATCGCCTCTTGATATCACTATCTTGAATCTTGAATCTTGAAAGATCGGGTCGACAGATATGTATGGGAAAACGACATTAACTTATTTTGATATGAAGAAACTCGGCCACAGTGTTTATGGTCATGTGAGCATTCTGAAGGATCGGGTGGAAGAAATTATGCAAGGGGAAGAAATGATGCAGAGGAACGAAAAATATAAATTTAAAATCGAGGTTATCGGAGATAAACTTATGATCGTGTTGGACACCTTGAAAAATGTCGATTTCTTGCGAAAATTGATTACATTTCATCAGGAATGAATCAGGGGCAATTTTAAGGCAAATGTTGGGACCACGAAGTTTAAATTTTGTACAGAATAATGTGTAATGGTAATAAATCAAGGGCAACTTTCACTTTCTTTCAACTTCAGCTGAGTTTTTTTCAAGAAGCATTTTGCACCACCTTTAATTTCGAAGAGATTCTTTAGGAATGAAGATATGAAACAAATAGTTAAACATATGACCATCCGGGCTGTGATAGCTACAGGGTTAAATTATAATTTACAATAATAATGAGTCCCAAATAATGAAAGAGAGATGCAGACGAGAATGGCCCACGCCCCTTCGGCGGGAGTGGAAACTGTCAGGGGCGAAAATGTCCAACGCGGGTCTCAGACGAAAGCTTGCCCACGTTTCTGCAGTCTGCGGCTCCCGTGTCTGGTCCGTCTCTCGTGCCGGCTGGTCCTTCACTCACTCCCAGGTCAAGGTTAACCAGTTTATTTATTCCAGGGCTCTCGTCTTGGGCACCCTCGAGTCTCATACGTAATCTTTGGACCCATCACAGTAGTACCCAATAAGTTGCTGCACGCATTCTTGAGTTTGGTCGCTGATTCAATGACCGAAGTAGAAGCAATTTTCCGTGGAATTGCGGGAAATTCTTTCAGGTTGGCGACCTTCGGCAAGCGAGTCGCAATTTAGTTGGAGTATGTCTATTGCATGTCTGGCTCTCTCTGACGAAGTAAAATATATTTTGTTCCCATAGCTTCAAGTAAATTGTGAATTTGCGAAATTAGTTGACCTCGTTTTACTTTGCCTTTTTTCAAGAGAACACATTGCTAAAACTATTAATGTGGAGTCAAACAACGGAAACCAGATGCTCGAAAATGAGCGCGCAAAGTATGGGAATAAATTCTGTTCGGGGAGGACCTACGTCGTAACAACTCCCAGGTGTAACTTGAGAATTAGGAAATGTTTCCATACCCTAAAAGTGGCATTCTCAGCATGAGTCTGTACAACTGAGGCAAATTTATCCTCCATCAGAGGATGAAAGCGTTTCGAGGTTGAAGAGACCCAACAAGAGGATTTCAAAACGTGATAAACGTGATCTTGTTGGCTTGTCTCAGCTGAATATATAAATTAAGCCTCGGTGTCAAGCTTCCGTTCTTTCCAGTATGATTGACGAGGCTCGAGTTTTTTCCACGCTTTCTTAAAATCGATTTGCTTTGTTCTATTATTTGCCTGGTCCTTAGGGGTCGTTTTTCTGCTTCAGACACAAAACCCGGCACCAAAACAACTTCTCTTGAATGTTAGCTCCTGTTCCCATTCTCACTGGCACTTTTCATGGACTAAGCAAGGCTCTCCCTGGCAAAAATTCATTTGACCTCCACAAAAAATTAACCCTGGCAGTACTCCTGGTTGCACCCTTGGTGTCATCCGTCATTATGATCAAGACTTCAAAGAGGCATACCCCATGTCTATTCTTCATTATGCGGATCCGACAGGGCAAGGTTGGAAGAAGAATTGTCCACAGGAATCGTATGGCAGTGACAAAAGACAGACACCATCCAGTGCTGCGAACGCAGACAACGAGAGAAAGAAAGGAGAAAGATACGAGACGTCCTATAGGCGTGTGGGAGACAGGGTAAGCATCACGATGGGACTGGAGAGGATGGGAGGGGAGATGTGGAAGCCCACTCCTTCCAAGACTGTCTTCATCTGATTCTCCAGCTCTACTGACATCGATGGGTCTCCATGTACTCGCAAGCGGCATTCACCCAACTCTGTCGTGTCATGAAGGAACGAACGAAAGTGACAGACCATGAAAGTGTCCATCAAGTGGACGGACCAAGTGGATCAACGATGTTGAGTTAATCGATTCTAAGTTAAGAGTAATAGTTCTTGAACTAATGCTTCTGACACTAGAAATTAAATGATTCCATTCCTTGCAAACCCGAAAATGAGTTGATTTATATAAGCAATTACTTCTTTAAATATTCTTCAAATAGCTTCCTGAAACTCTATTTCCTTTTCTTGCATAATCATAAAGCGAACACTCGATCTTCAGCTTGCCGCTACGAAGCCACACCAACTTGATAATCCCATTGGCAGCAACTAAACTGAGCAGAAGTCATCACAACGACGTTAACAGCGTTGAGTTTCGCCTTTAAAGGCTGTGTGGCAAAGCTGGAAAGGTAATACCTTCAGGCACTAAAGATGGGCAAGATTTGAAGCAGAGCAAAATTACAGCTTTAAATTACTGCTAGTATTAGCTAGTATAACTGTGAAATGTAGATGATAATTAGGTTATTTCCCACGGAAAATAGTATGTTGCAAAGAAATGCTAATGATCATTGGTCTCCAATATTCTTCCACCAGTATTAAACAACCAGCATTTCATCTAATCGTTAACTAGGATCCAACACTGCTTACTGATTCCACCCCTGACGTGAAGGACGGCCAGTGCAAGGGCAGGGAGAAAAGAGGGCAGCTGGATGTCCAGCCTCACCTCCACCTGCTTTCGGGTCTCTCGAAGGAGATTCACCAGCTCTTGGTCGTAGCGCCTCCCCGTGGCCCTCCATCTCGAGTCTACCATCTCCAGCTCCTCTTATCGGGGTAGAATCATGTCAAGAATACGGCAATCAAGGTAAAGCTAGTCTGTTTCTCTCGTGATAGCGCCTTTGTCTGTCAATCGGAAACCAAGCTGCACTTCGTTATATATATATTTCTACGAAATGATGCACTCCATGGCTTAACAGAAGCACGAGTTCAATCAGTCCAAGAGATCCCCAGACTTTCATTTTGCATCACACCTC